AATTGCCTGTTCGAAGCCTCTAATTAGAGAGGGAGAAGAGGGAGTCAGGACCTGCAAGAATCCATGATGCCAAGTGGCAATTAGCCCCTCACTCTCCTGCATGTAGCATCATTGTTACCATAGGTGGAAAAGGACAGACGGTCCACATGACTCTATTTTCAGAAAATAAAGTAGTTTCCCTAAATAAATCTTTCTAAACACATTTTTTAAAGTAAAGTATCAGTTTTAAACACTTGTGTTCACTATGGAGGAGGAAAATAGAATTTTTTGTTGTCGGTTTAATCACTAACCCCGCTCTCCTTTCTGTACATTGGTTTGATCTACAGCTTGCTATCCACGAGAACACTCCCCCTAACTCCACACACACACCACACACGCGCACGCGCGCACGCACGCACGCACACACACACACACATGCACACACCGCTCCGCCCCCATCTCTCTGTGTGAGTGTGTTAAAGTAGTCTGAGCTCCCGCTGCTTTGTAAAGGTTTCTTTACAGCAAAAAATGTATATAGCAAAGTTCATGCTCAGTAATCCAGGCAAAAAGTCCAACAAAGTTCAGTCAGGTCCTCTGGACAGTTTCTTTTTTTGTTGTTGTTTTTGTTGAAACATTTTGTCCTTCATCCAAAGGACTTCGTCAGTCTGAGGAGCCACAACAAACTCAGTCCCACAAGCAGCACACTCGCATAGTGGACCAATCAGTTTGATGGTGAGAAGATGGTTTCTGGAGCCCGTCCTCTCCCCTGTCCCCTGATCTGAGGCAACCGTAGCCAAAGGGGTTCAAAACAACAAAGTTCATGCTCAATGAACTTTGGATGAAAGATGAAATGTTTCAACAATTAAAAAAAAAAAAAGTCCAGAGGACTTGACTTAACTTTGTTCGATTTTTACCTGGATTATTGAGCATGAACTTTGTTGTTTTGAACCAGATTGGCTAAAGCTGCCTCTGAAGAGTGGACAGGGGAGAGGACGGGCTCCAGAAACCACCATATCACCAGTAAACTGGTTGGCCCACTAAAGAACTGATGAAGTCCATTGGATGAAGGACAAAATGTTTCAGCAAAAAAACAAAACAAAAAAAACGTCCAGATGACCTGACTTAACGTTGTTGGATGTGTCAGATATGTTCTTTAGAGCATTTAGCCGAACAAAATAAAGGTCTGAATGAAGAGAGCAGGTTGACTCACAGGTAAAATCATTTTAAGCAGACAAATTTGGAATGTTTTTTCAAAAATTAGTTTTTTTTTTACAAATGCTACACACATATTTGCAATACATCATTCCTGTTTAAACATAAAACATTAGCTGTATTTATAAAGTACTTGAAACTAGAGCCCGGCTGATATGGAAATTTTGTCTGATACGATATTAGGAGCGGAAAGCTAATGCCGATAATCAATACATTGGCTTCAATTTTTTTAGCTTTGTCCATCCCAAGAATCTAAGTAAACAACTAGCTTTACCAGTGTTTATATTGGTGCAAAATGGGACAATTATCACAGATAATAGATCAGGTAACAGATATTGGCCTAAAATATCAATCCTACTGATATATCGGTGGGGCTGTATTTGAAACAGCCACAGGATCAAATTGCTGTAGAGAACAGTTACAATGAATAAAACCCACCAATAGTCACAAAACATGAAACAAATCTAAAAAAAAAGTAAAAGCAGCATTAAAATAAATAAAAACAATCAATTAAATGTGTTGATGCGTGCTCAATCATCCAGGTAAATAAATCACAAAAAAGTTGTCGGTTCATCTGGACAGATTCTTCTTGGTTGAAACGTTTCGTCTTTCATCCAAAAGACTTCATCAGTCTGAGGCCTGCCACAAACAGTCATATAAATAGCACCTTTTCAAAATGGATCAAACCAGTCTGCTGGGGGTTTCCACAAACTAGTTTTTCACATGTGAAAGGAGTCAGTCTAACAATTGATCGTCAGTGCCTAACAATTAAACTGAACTAAAACATGAACATCTCTGATGGTGTTGAAAACCCAGGAGAAGAGATGGATTTTAAGGAGGGATATAAAAGCTAACAGGGAAGAGGTCTGTCTGATGACCAGGCAAGCCATTCCACATTTTAGGAGCAGCAGAGGAAGCATGATCCCCTCAAAGCTTAGTTTTTGGGATGCATCTGGTCCGCTGACCTGAGAGAAAGATAGTGGGTGTAGGGATGGCGCCATCTTGTGGGCCTTCCTTGTCTGTGCACCCTTGTGTGTCTCATTATTCCTGATTATTTGCACCTTCTGTTCTCAGCTGTTTGTAATCACGTCCTGTCTTGTCTGTGTATTTAAGCCTGTCAGTGAGTCTTGTCCTTTGTCTCGGCATTGTTGGGTATTGTCCTGTCCTGCCAGCCTGATCTGTTCCTTGTTCCCCGTTTTAGCAAGTTGCGGCCACGTCAGCCTTTTTGATTTATTATTAATATTAAAGAGTATTTATTTTTGTAAATTCTTGAGTCCTGACTCTTACCTGCATTACTGGGTTCACTCCTGCCCTGCTCTGTCTGAAACCCCGACAGTGGGTGTAGGTGTGTAGCAGCTCAATGAGGATGGGTGAGGCAAGATCGTTTAAAGGTTTTAAAACAAAAATAATAAAAAATGAATCCTAAAATGTACAAATGACTAGTGCAGTGAAGATAAAATAGGGGAAATGTGCTCATGTTTTTGTGCCAGGTAGAGATGTTGGGCTGTGTTTTGGACTCTCTGGAAGTGAGCAACTTATTTTTTTATTTTATTTAATCTGTATTTAACCAGGTAAATCCCATTGAGATCATAGATCTCTTTTTCAAGGGAGGCCTGGACCTAAAGGCAGCCTAACATGCATGATTTTAATCTGTGGGAGGAAACCGGAGTACCCGGAGAAAACCCATGCAAGCACGAGACAAACTTTTTTTTCCCCATTTACCCTTTATTTATACAGGTAGTCTCTTTGAGTCACGAGGACTCATTTTCAAAAGAGGCCTGTTTTTGGGAGCAGATGGTGGGGGTTACGGGCCTTGCTCAAGTTCCCAGAGTGGTGCAAACGAGGGTGGAGGCAGGTGTGGGTGTTTCACGTTTACCACCCATATTTTGATGTTGCCTGTACTGGGAGCTGAACCTGCGACTTTCCAATCACAAGTCAACCTTCTCTAGCCTCTGCGCCACCACTCCCCCATAAATATGCAAACTCCACACAGAAAGACCCCAGGTCCAACCAGGGATTGAACCCAGGACCTTCTTGCTATGAGGCAACAATGTTAACCACTGAGCCGTCGTGCTGCCGAAGAAGAACTGACCCTTATATAAAGTGATATAAATTTGTAAAATTTCCAAATAATTTTAAATGCGTAAAATCACATATTGTTTGCCCATTTTTAATCACATGACTTTGAGTGAAACCCTCAGTTGCTATTACGAAATAATTAATGCGATCATCTACTGACGTGACATCAAGCCTAAATGTTAGCGAGGCATTAGTAAAGGGCAATGATGCTCTCACCTTTTAATTAGCCATCAAACTGATATATTAAATATTAATACATTTTCAGAATTCCCTGCTGCTCTTTTCCACAAGTCAATATTTAAACAGAGAAACGACAAAAAGAAAAATCAAGCAAAAACATTTATAGGCAAATTGATTATTTCTTTTTACATTATTATACTTTTTACAAATTACTATATGTATTTCCTGGACATTGCATTGACTTATAATAAATGGTAAAAAAAAAAAGGAGAATCACAATATTTTGAAGTCAGATTACTTTTCAAGTGAACTACAAATTGGTCATTTAAAAACAATCTGATATTGGGAAATTGCTACAGAATTAGTTAGTTTTGTCAAGTTTTTCATTTTATTTATGACTACAAAGCCATTCATCATGAAATGTATTTTACAGACAGCAGACATGTAGGAGAAGCTTTCAAGGCTGAGGCGGCGTAATGTAAATGTGCTTTCAGGCAGAAAAATGTGCAGCATGCAGCGTTCTAAAGCCGACAATGTGGAATGTTAAACGACAACCATAGTCAATCCAGCCGGACACAAACGTCAAAGATTTCTGAGATAAAAACTCATTAGACATGAGAATATATAGAATATTAAAGACATGGAGTTGCTTGTAAAAGATGCACATTGCTGCTGGCTTTCAAGTCAAAGTATAAAACTAAGACATCTTATGTTGAGAAATGACAAGAGTTGTAGCTGTTTTTGTTAAACCTGGAGGAAAAAAAAACATTATTTGCATTTTTAGGAGTCATAAAAGTACTTCAGTCATTAGATCGGCCTTTCCTGCATCACATTATACAAACTAGGCATACTAATAAAAATGTGTGTATCTCTAACAAAACAAACACATTGATTTGGTAGTTGGAGCAACAAAAGTTTGGCAAATAGGGAACAAGATAAATGGACTGCACTTGTACAGCACCTTTCTATCTTAACAATATACTCAAAGCACTTTACAACAATCTGTGTTTCATTTACCCATTCATACAGCACTCTACTAGATCTATACAAAGCTCATTGAGCAAATCATTCTAAAGAGACTAATCAGAGCTTTATCACATTCATACACTGATGGGACACACATCGGAGGCTATGAGGGGTTCAGTGTCTTGCCCAGGGACACTTCAACATGACTGCTGCTGGAATTGAACCCCCAACTCTTGCATTGGAGGACGACTGCTCTAATCACTCAACCACAGCCTCCCCAAGAACAGTAAATATGAAGAGTTATGTTGGTTAATTTCTTCCTATCAACCAATCAATCAATCAATCAATCACTACAAATAATTACTATCACAGATGAATTTTAGTTGACAACAAAGTGGATTAACAAATAGAAACGCTAAGTAAAGCAGAGATGGTATACTCCAGATAAAGGCTCTTTCTGATCCTGCTGACCCCCTATGGTCAGCAGTTGGTACAGACCACAAAGCCCTAACACTCATCCTCTCCACACGCACACATGCACACACACACACACACACACAAAGGCTGCACAACTCCTCACAACAACCCTACTTAGCCAGTCTGACAGCGTCAGGGACAGCCTGTGTGTGTGTTTGTGTGTGTGTGTGTGTGTTTGTGTGTGAGACATGAAGAGTCAGCTGAGATGAAGTGTGAAGCAGTGAGAGGGAAAACCCGGGGGAACAAAATCAGAGAGGGGGAGAGGGAGTCAGCGAACGCAGCAAAAAGGCAGAGGAGAAGAAAGAGAAGAGGGCAGACAAATAAAAGGTGTGAGTCAAGAATGGCAATGACTAGATGACCATCCACTGCACACACACACACACACACAGTTTGCATCCTGTCCTGGAGCCTTGACAGGAGGGGACAAGAGAAATCCACACACAGTCAAAGGTAAACGCTCTTCAGCCGCTCCAACTTCACTGGATCATGTCGTCTACTGGGTCGACAAACCACAACAAGCGCCTCACGTGTGAGTAGCCCTCAGTGCTGTTATCATACATGTGTAGCTGCAAAGTGCCACTATGACATACACTGCATTATTCCCCACAAATACAGTTTTGTTGCTATAATTTAACACTTTATAATTTCTTCTATGGTGTGATTTATAGTAGAGCACATTTTCAGAACATCATGGTAAACGATCCCTAACACTGGAACAACTCCATCCAAGTTAGATTATTTATTATCTGTAAGTTCATTATTAAGGCTTTTGTTTAACTAAGTTTACTGCACTTGATTATGATTTTTAATCTGTCATGCATGGCGTGATTATAATGTAATTTTCTCAACTCTGTGTTGCTAAATGGTGAATCCAGAGGATGATTCCTCATTTAAAAACTATAATTACCCATATTCTGTGCATCCTTTTACATCCTCGTTATTTATTTTATTTTCAACCCGTGCAAATGTCTCATTGTCCACAATAATATTAGTACACGTGGGTCATTTTTGTCGAGCTCAATTACCCTGGCAGGCTTTATAGTGGGGCAGGATTGTTGATGTAAATGGGATTTAATCAGCACAAAGTAGTACAAACTACTTCTTTAAGCATGACATTGTTTTAAAGACTTACTTTGAACCGCGTCCTGCAGAAACGCCATCTTTCTATCTGAACAGACAAACCACCAAACACAAGCTGGTTCTTGTGTGGATAATGTTCTGTTTAATGAAAAGCTTCTGCGTGAGTCTGAGTGTGAGCATGAACATATACAGGCTCCAGTCAGAACACGTGAGAGCGGGCTGAAAGCCTCGTTTTGACTGACCGAAATATGGAGCGGTGGACATGATGGAGGTCATCTTTGCATTTAACCCTGGAGCTTTATTGGCTTTAGGTATGGAAGTAGCCTGGGAATATAAAATCTGATCAAACCCTCAGAGTGAACACTTAACAGTGCAGTTAGATGGGGAAGAGACAACGAGCAACATGAAGACTTTCAGATGAAGCGAGGTGGAGATGTTAAAGCCAGTAAATATAATTCCACATACATTAGCCTTGGGGTTGTGCTTCCTGCAGTATGACGTAGGCTGCTGTGACGCTGTCAGTGCTGATTTACTTTCTGCTACATGGCGGTGAGTTTATGAAGCCATGTGTGGACAGTGAGGGAAATGGGGAGCCACGGCGGGGGAGGCGACTTTTGTGGTGCAGTGATCTCACTCATAAATGATTTATGATTGATGGACTGCTGTGGCCACAGTGTGAGCAGAACAAAGTGCTTGGCTTGATAAATAACAGTAGTAAATTATTTCAAATGTGCAGTTGTATATTGTTAAGAGATGGATGACACTGCTATGGACTCTCAGAGGGGAAAAGGAGCTGGGGTGGCGGGATAGATGTGCTGTCAGACAAAAGTGGCCATGCAGCATAACCGCCTTACTAGCATTCTTACGCACACTTCTGTGTTGACTGAAATCAGAAAAATGATCACAGGATTTCTTTCCACTTGCCACAAGGGAGCTAAAAGCATGTGACTCACAGGTTCAATGGGACATTTGTCTTCTGCTTCTAGGACTGAAGTGTAACTGCAGCACTAGATGAGACAGAACAGACTATGAGAATGCATAGAAAACACAAAACTGTTATGAAATTGAACGATTAGCATTCCTTGAAGGAATACATACTGTCCACCACCACTTATGCTAAACTTTTGAGATCATCTTATGCTGAGAAATAACATTTTGGTTCAACTTTGTTATGCACAATCTCATGTGATCTTGTGAGATCTTGTGAGATGTGTTAACACTCAGATTTTCTGTTGAGGATGACTTTCAAGTAGTACAATACCAAAATTAAATTGATCGATGGATCCATCAATGGATCCATCCATCAGAGAGGTGGGGGACACCCTGGACAGTCCATCACAGGGACACAGGAACAAACGAGACAACCAACCATTCACTCTCTCACTCACACCTAGGGACAATTTAGAGTTACCGATCAGTCTAACATGCATGTTTTTGGTCTGTGGGAGGAAACTGGAGTACCCGGAGAAAACCGACACATGCACGGAGAGAACATGCAAACTCCTCTCAGAAAGGGCCCCAGGCAGGATTTGAGCTGGCAACCTTCTCGCTGAGAGGCGGCAGCTCTACCTACTGAGCCACCGTACATTACTACATTTTTATATATTGTTTTGTTTTGTCTTTAAGGAACAATAAACGACTGCAAAATTAAAACCCCAGTAATTGTGTCTTGTGAGGCCAATTTTCCCAGGCTACATCTGAAAGAGAAAAGAGATGGACGATTACACTAAGACTAAAAAACAAGAAGAAAATGTGTTGGGAATTTACCTTTTTGTCCACACAAGACAACTGTGCAAAAATCACATGATGTCTTCTAACCTCTTATATGAGGCTTAGCTGAGGCAAGCAGACTTAAGCTCTTTCCCTCAAACCACTGACACTACAGTTACTTTATACTTGTACTAGGAACAACACGCGGCTGACTCAGGTTGCAAAACAACTTTCTGCTTTCTTTGAGAAACCTCTTTCTGAAAATCCTTTTTTGATATTCATTTTATTACTTCAAACTCAGCCAGCATGAGACTCAGGTGTGCATTGTTGTGAGAAATGTTGCTATGCTTTATAAAACAGCAGGTGTTCAGGGTACTGGAGGGGTTACAGCTTCAGGATTCAACCAGCAATAAGCAGCATTTAGACTTAATTATTATTAACCTTTATTTAACCAGGCAAATCCCATTGAAATCATAAATCTCTTTTGCAAGGGAGGCCTGGGCCTGAGGCAGCCTAACATGCATGTTTTTGATCTGTGGGAGGAAACTGAAGGACCCGGTGAAAACCCATACAAGCAGGAGAAGAACATGCAAACTCCACACAGAAAGACCCCAGGTCCAACTGGGGATTGAACCCAGGACCTTCTTGCTGTGAGGCAACAGTGCTAACCACTGAGCCATCATGCTTACCAATTATCATTTTCATGTGGGCTGAAAAGGAGCATATATTGGGTAAGGGGCAAAGGTACTTAACACAAATGTCAGGAGATCTTTACAAGTATGAAAATGGTAAATTTAACAAAGTTAAATCAATTCTTGTTATTTCATTTTTAATCTGAATGTTTTTAAATAGATGCCAATTCAAGAAAGTTAAGTCAGGTTATCAGGAGAGTTTCTTTTTTTTTTGGCAAAACGTTTCGTCCTTCATCCAAAGGACTTCATCAGTCTGAGGAGCCACAACAAACTTACAAGAAACATAAGCAGTACAGTCCCGCCCTCTCCCCCGTCAACTTCTCTGAGTAGAGTTGCATTTGGTCCCAAAAAATCCGACCCGACCCGGCCCCAGCCATCATTTCCAAACCCCACCCGACTTGACAAATTAACAGTAATTACAGATCTGAACCCGAAATCCCCCCTGACATTTTTAATTAAGCTTTGACTGCTTATTTTTATTACCGGTCAGCGGACGTGCGCAGCTGAGTAAAAGGGGGCAGAAGATCGGAGCTGAGGGGGCGTTTGTTCTTTCATGGCCATCAAAGCGCATTAAATCCCTGCTTCTACCTGCATTCTGCATTATTCAGACACAGACCCTGCTCTGACATGTCGGATATTTTGGGATCTCACTTGTTTGGGTCGTCGGCCATGCGCGTCCGCTAAATGCAGCTGAATCATTTTTTAAATACACCACCACCTTCTAAAGGAAAGAACAAAGATGTCTCATTTGTTTGAATGTCTTTCTTTACTTTAATTGAACTTTTTTTTTTTTTAAACCTCTTTCAAGGCCGGTCAATGCACGGTCAAATGGCCGCATGCGACAGGTGCTAGTATGGCAAGCCATGTTGCCATATAATTGGATCGTCAGTCGCAAGTGTCCGCTGACACAATCAAAAGCCCGACACCAGCCCGGCCCGCACATTAAGCGCATTATTATGGCCCGACCTGACTCTGAGGCAGCCATAGTCAAAGTGGTTTAAAACATGAGAGGGGAGAGGGCAGGCTCCAGAAACCATCTGATCACCATCAAACTGGTGGGTCCACTATGTGAGTGTGCTGCTTGTGGGACTGAGTTTGTTGTGGCTCCTCAGACTGATGAAACGTTTCAACGACAACAAAAAAAAAGAAACCGTCCAAATGACCTGACTTAACTTTGTTGGATTTTTTTTACCCGGTTTATTGAGCATGAACTTTGATAGATGCCAATGTTTTCTAAACAAAAGTCAAACATCACTAATCACACATCACACCACATAACACCTTACAACATCACTTTTGCACATGATCTGTGTTGGTAGCCTGAATGGAGAATAAAACCACAGCCTGTACAAACTGAATGGCTTGTCTCATTTCTATCTGGAATTTTCTATCACACTTTGTGCCTGGTGACTCTTGCAGAACGTTCATTTGATTTGACCGTGAAAACTGATGGGTAAGTAGAAAAAAGGATGAAGCAAACAGAAATGCTAGATTGGTTGGTGGTTTAAAACCCCAGCCGAAAGCAAGGGATTCCCCCGCAGAGGCTTAGAACAGCATCTGGGTCACACAGAGCCCGGCAGTGGAGTAACCTCAGTCGATTTGCATAAAGACCCCACACAGTTCTTCCACTGCAGGGTGGCAGGAAACTCAGAGGTTATCTCGATGAGTCAGACTTCTACATACATGTCTTCCGCCTACTCGCAGGCAGACAAATGACATGCAGCTGTGCCTACGTGTGGGCTGGGCATAACCAATGGCCATCTCAACTTGAGTAATGCAATATGATTTATAAATAAATAGAAAAAGAGAAAGGCAGCATGAAAGAGTCAGGGAGAGCAGAGCCGACAGGCAACAGTGAGGTTTATATAAGCTGTGCAGTTTCATCATCATCAGAGTAAGTTTATTTGTTTCTAACTTCCTGCTGCTGTCACAGTGACAACCCCTAAATTATCATGGACACTCACAGGATTGCAAAAATCTGGGGGTGAATATGTGAATACTTTGACTATTCAAAATTAGAAATGTTCCACTGGAATTAATAGGATTTTTTGTAATAAACAGGGATAAACCTGGAATTTAAAATATTCAAGACTGTCCCCTAACCGGGATTTTAAATACAGTTGTGGAAAATATATTTTAGCACAATTTTATTGCTGTACCATGCAAGGAGAGGTGTGATATCCTAAAAACCCTGTCACCTGAATATGTAGGGACTAGGCCTGTCATGATAAGAAACTGTTCTGGGTGATTAATTGTCTAAGAAATTATTGCAATAAACGATAATACTGTTTGAAATTTGACAATAATTAGTAATTATTGTCAAATAAAATGTTGGTGAATTTTTTGTGCGTAGTACCTTATTTGACCACTGGATGGCAGTATAAGGCTGTTTGAACTGAAGGATGGATAGTGAAGGAGCGAGCAGTGTGTCTCTTTAAAAAAACGGGAGGGAGGCCCCTTGACGTGACATGGGCTGTCCTTCCTTTTTTCGGTTCTCAAAATGGTGGAGGCTCGGTGTGGTTTGAGCGCTTTAGCATAGCATTTTTCACACAAAGCTTTTAATAAAAAATCAGTAAACAAGTTCTCAGCTTCTTTTAGCAGAGAAAAGCAACTTTTTACACGAAGGCACGGGTTTCAACCGTGAATTTTGGAGCTTCGACAAGACGGAGGTTTTTTTCCCCCTCGAGGTCGGCCTGTTAGCTTAGCTTGTAGCTTAGCTGCTTTTAACGATCCAAAAACGCGATTTTTGGATCGTTAAAACAGATTTTAAAGAAAAGAGAAAGGGAGGGGTCAGTGAAGAGCACCGGAGTTGCGCCTTTTGTCATCCAGTGTCTTCAGTAGAAAGAGAGAGACACGAAGGAACAATAAAGCCGATAAATGAAAATGAGGCAGATCATTTTCATTTATCGTGCGATTAATTGATTTATTGTTTATCACGACAGGCCTAAACGGACATGGAAAAAAGGACATGGTAAAAGTTAAGTTGAATTGTAAATGGTTTTGTTGAGAAATGCAATTAATTAAAACACTTTTTAATTTTGCACCTTGTATCATTTGGATATCAGTTTATTCACAGATGTGAATGATGATGGTGGTGTGTACCTGTTTCTACATTGGTAAGTTTAGTGGTGCAGCAAATGGTGACTGGGTTGGGCCGTAGTGAACTTTGTTGCAGAAACTATTCAACTTTAAAGCTGAGAGATTTATTGCATCAAATACATGACAATCTAAAAGAAATATAATTTTCCACCCTGTCTGTTTGTTTCCAGACCTGCAATATCCAATGGAGTTTGCAACAAAATGAGCACACAAGAGTTATGCACAACCAGTAAAAAGTAAAAACAATCCCCACCCTTCAACATGTTCCAATAGACTACATGCAGTTTCTTTTGTTATAAATTTTAGCTACATTCACATCGATCAGTCATGTCTGGGTAAGGATTTATATTTAACAACAATAAACGTCAGCGACTGTGCCCACAGATTGTTGAAAAATCAGACACTGAGCAACAGACGAATGCTTTCTAGCCTCCAGAATCAGTTTGAATGACAGAATAAAGGGTTATCGTTAGTGGGTGAAAACGTACAGACACTCCTCCAGGGCAGCGAAAGAGTGACTGACAGATTGACGAGCTGGCCGTTGAGCGGTGGATTCCTCTGAAGAGAACGGCTGGGTGACATAGATTTGCTGCAGCTTTTGTTTTCAAAAGAAAAACAACAATGATGCAGAAAACTACCGACGTGCAACATGGGAAAGTGAGTTTTTCTGCAGGATGGATTCATGTGCTGGCATCATGTGAACATGTTAATTATGTATTTTTGTTATGCATACACACAAAAAACAAAGTGAGAACAAACTAAATAGCATGAAGACATAATTGTAGAATTATAATAGACAGATGTAAAATGGTGCACATGAACACAGCAACAAAAAACATGGGTGACATGAGTCCAAGTGTCAGCTAGAGGAGCTCACCATGAGACACAATGTGTGCAGAGGGCACGGCCCCATTACACAACCACGGCCGCTCAGGCTGGCAGAAGAGCATGAGGTGGACAAACTGTAGGGACAGATGCTCTCTCGTTTATTTTTCTATTACTGTATATACTTGCATTTCTTTAAACTTTGAAAAAACAAACATCCAACTATTGACACAGTAACAGTAATGGGGAAACCCAAATGGCAGCTTTTTAGGTTTTTCCAGTTTCGATGAAGTGCATGTGAATCTGAACATGAACACTAGAGGTCAGACTAATATCAATGTTAAGAAAAATAAAACGAAGAGCTGGCTTTAAAAGTTGAACATGGTAATAATGATAGAAAGTTATGAATACATGTATGACATTTTCTATCTGCGAAACAGTACAAAAACAGTTTCAGTACCAGACATAGTAATCAAAGCCTGATCTTTAAACTGAGTGGCAGAGACATTTTACTGTTCAGTCAGCTGACATTAGCAGCCTTTTGTGTCTGAGACATTTTTACACTTGATTCCTAAGAAACCTAAATAATAGGTGGAGGTGCAGCAGCCTTAAATGAAATCTTAAACCGTGACAGAAAAAAAAAAAAGCCTAAACTTGTTTTCCAAGTCATTAATTTACTTGTGGTGTAGACATCAAACCATTAGGTGCAAACTAATTAAATAAATTCCAGGGTAATGCAGACTAAAACTGTCAGTAAAAGACAAACACCTATTCCTTAGCTTACTTAGTAATGTTATTTAGATTTGTTTGAAAGCATTGCTTTAATCAGTGTTTGTTACCTGATGGGCCTGTGATGGACTTGTCCTGGGTGTCCCCGGCCTCTCCCATAGTGACTGCTGGATATGGGCACCAGTGACTCCTGTGACCCGAAAAGTAAGAAGCGGTTAAAAGATAATGGATGGATGTTATCTGATGACATAATTGAGTAAAAGTATTGAAATGACAAAAATAAATGAGGCACAGAGGTGTACAAGAAAAAAAAAGTTTAAATAAAAACAAATATCTTTGTTTGTTTTTGTTGGATTGTAGTTATCTTAGCAAACTCAGGCAAAATTTATCCTTTCAGGTAGAAAGGACGATTTCACGTTCACAGCTGATTGTGTTTTAAGAAAAAGATCTTACATTTTTGCAATGTAAGGGATGACAACACGAGATGTAAAGATAATGTTTCGTCTTTCTTGTGTTTTCATGCTCAGCTGAAAAGGACACTTCACAGAGTTTGCTCAACAACGACTCCGCTCACCACTTGAAGCGAAGAGACAGGCAGCGGTTCTTTGAAGACGTCTACCAGCATGACGTGGACAACTACCTTCCATCTGTACACCTGCAAATTGATTGCAGGAAACGTGAGCTAATGTCTATTTCAGTTGCAAAAGCTCTGGTTTAGATTAAGCTGATTTTATGTTGCACTTTCATTTTAACCAACAGGCTGCATGGTGGCACATCTGGCGAGCATTATGGTTTTTCAGCAAGATGTTCCAAAGCATAGCTGCTGTCTTTCTGAGTAGAGTTTCAGGCCACAGTTAGCCCTAATGAGTAGAAGGATGGACATTTACCAGAGCATTAAAAATCAATACACAACCTCAGATAAATTGACAGTTTATTAATTGATTGCAGTCCTTATTTGAATACTGGAATTATTTATGTTTTACATGTGGTTTTGTTGCAGCTCCGATGGGTAGTATATCATCCATGGAGGTGAACGTGGACACGCTGGAGCAGATGGATCTGATGGACTTGTCAGATCAGGAGGCCCTTGATGTGTTTCTTAATTCAGGCTCAGGAGCAGAAGAAGCAGCTCTGGCTTCTCCACTGCCAGGTATACAATCAAAGATGACACTTTTTTCTTGTTGTGGCTAGTTTAATAATAATTTAAAAAAAGTTTATATATATATATATATATATATATATATATATATATATATATATATACACACACACACATGTATATACACTAATCAAGGCATAGATAATGTGAGTAACATAGCATCTTCTGTATACATTAAATTTCCTGCCAGTAATGTCTTCATTCTGACATTCCCATGGCCAAGGCCGGATCTACCATATGGGCAATCTGGGCACGTGCCCAGGGGCCCTTGGCACAGAGGGACCCTCTGCCGGCAGAATTGTTTTAGCTGCAACAAACACCGGGCACTGACTCCCCTCATCCGTGCGATACATCACTGTGAGGGAGGATGGTGAAGCTGCTCACAATAACGGTTGCGATGGGGCTGTGAATTTCCGGTTTTCAAAATAAAACACAAAACCCAATCAAATTCACATATTTCACCTTATTCCTGGTGCCTTTACTGTAGAAACGTTTCTGCAACAACTTCCGGTCCAACACCAGAAGTATCAATAATAGAACGGACCGAGTTTAAAAAAATTTTTTTTTTATTTTTGCAAGTTACTGTATTTGCATTCAGTTTATCAGAGCAAACTATTTTTTTTTTGTTCAAACGTGAAGTTTATTAAAGTGTCCTACCGGGGTTCAGGTACCTGCTGTGCTGTTCGCAACTGCACCAACAACCAGACCAAGCAAAGTCCAGCAATTGTAAAAATGTCAAAGATTAGCAAACATTTTTTGCACACAAATTATTTTGTTTCTATATTTTTTATCCAAAAATTCAATTACATATTCACGTTTTTTTTTTTTTTTTTTTTGTATTTAATGAAAAAATTCAGATACAATGTAACCACTATTATATTAAAATACAAACAAGTATTTTGCGTATATATGGTGCTTCCGCATGGCTTATTTTCTTTTAGTTTTAGAAGTACAAAAGTCATTCTTCCTTTGTTTGTAGCATGAATAAACAAATCAATACATTCTCACGCAAAGTGTAAAAATGGTACCAATATGTTCTAACAGTTTTTAATTACAGATGACGATGACGATGAAGAGAATGAAGAAGCAGAAGTAGTCTACAGGGCACAAGCACCTCTTCAACGGCAAAATAATGTTTACGGTGGTCCTCACTCTCGTATTTCTTCAACATCATCTGGTTCCAGTGTCACCAGCACAGGAGTGGACACGCCTGTGATCCAGTCAGACGATGAAGAAGTGCAAGCTGACACTCTTCTACTGACCTCTGCCCCCCATACAAGAGATGAGGAAACAGAGGAGGAAGACGAGGAGAGATGCTTTACAACCAATCATTAGAAGAACTTTCCCCTAAAGCCTGAAATCTCTCGTTGTCTTTGCATTCCTTTCTTATGGCCAGGAAACTAAAGCAAGTTTGGGGCTAGCTGTAATTTGCTGTAAACCATGAGGTGACTTTTACAATTTCACCTACAGTATATTCTCTTTTGTTTTTACAAGTTCTGTGGCACGTACAATAAATAGTTTCTTGGTTGTGTTGTTAAAAAAAATTCACCCCAAGTATGAGTCATTCTCTCCTCCTGCACCAACATGTTCTGCTTGACTTAAAACGAGTTTAGCGTTATTCCTCAACCACAGGGGGACGTCCTTCATGCTTACTGTATTTTTTTAATCAGTTTCTCAACAACCAGGTAAAGGAAAATTGAACACACTCATATTTTTGAATAAAAAAAAAATTCTCACAATAGTGACAGAAAAATAAAAATTGAAGTTGCATGAGATAATTTTAATCTATTAGTTACTACCACCCTGTTTCAGAAAAAAAATGTAGGGTTCTGTCATTTATAAATAAAAACAATGTGGTGGCATGTGTGCAGCAATAATTTTAAAATGGTTGGGATTATGGGTAACGTCAGTCCTTCCATTTTTGTTTACTATACCAAGATCAGATATTGAATAATCAAGTTTAGGAGGAAAACCCAGGTGTCACGCACCTTAGCGACACACTGCAACTCCTCCTGGGTGATTCAGAAGCATTCCCAGGTCAGAAGAAACGTAAAAACCCTCCAGCTAGTTCTCAGTCTGCACTGGGTTTTCGTTCCAGAACATGCCAGTCAAGCCTTAAAACCTCGTCATATCGGATGCATGAACCATCTTAGATGACTTGTTCCAGTGCAAGAAAGAAGTGGCGACATCCATTCTCTTTTGCAGGGAGGGCGAGCATCGTAGAGCAAAATCTCCCATACCCCTTCTGAAAAAGTGAGCCAACAACTTCCATCTGCTTCTCCACAGGCATTGTCCCAGTCTTCCACGTCACATGGACGTACAGAGCCTCGAGCGCGTGAATTTTATCCATCTCTTACCTCCTGCCTCCAGAAAACCTTTCTACTATCTCAACAAATTCTGACAAGATGTCTTCTCACTACTTTTTTGGTAATGAACATGGCGCTTGAGGAAATCCTATCACCACACAATGGTGTAGTCCAAAGTCCCAGTCCAAATCAACAATTCTCCAGCAAACACAATCTTGGACGGACCATGCTTCCCTCTTCTGAGTTTGGTCAAATAATCTTGAGTTCAACTGAAAGTCCTTCTCCACAGCCTCCCTGAACTCTCCCCACACTTAGGTTTAAGCTTCAGCCATTATTGAAGCTGAAGCACTTCTGGAACTTACTGTTAGCTTCTTGTGGAGTGCTCTGTAATACCCGGTCCCCTCTTTTAGCTTGACAGCTTTTCTGACTACTGGCATCCACCATCAGGTCCTCGAGTTGCCTCAGTAATGGCATCAGTGACATTCTGGTCAGTTCTTTAAAGTCTTATTCACAATGAGGCTCAGACCAAAGCTCCTTCAGACTCCAGGTTCTCCGTCCCTGGGACATGTGACAAACCCTCATAGATGTGTGATATGAAGATCTCCAAAAATATTTATTATGCACAACCCATGAATGCACAGAAGCCTAAAAAACAGAACACCAGATGAAGTCTGATGAAGAGGATTTATCACACTCCTCCAACTGACTGTTATTGAACATGGGCTCTGGACTAAAGAAACATAAAATAGTAAAAGTTAGAAGGCTCAAAACGAACATAGTAAAATGTAATCACATTGCCGTTAAACAGCCTAAACTTGTTTCTTAAAGTACGTCAGTCATCTAAGCATGTTGAAAATCATTAAATTAAACATCAGTTAACTTACAGCTTCTGAACTCCAAAGTTGCTGAAATTCCAAATAAAGCAATAAAGAGAAAATATTTCTATTAGTTTACTTTTAAAACAATTCTCTATATGAACAGACTGAAAACCAACAACTTGTTCTATTTCTCACTATGTTTTAAACAGTGTTTCAGTTTTATAAATTAGGTTGCACACTGTGCTTTTATTCTGAAAAAAAAAAAAAAACAACTTATTTTACTATTTTGATTTTGTTATTTGTTTAGATGGCCGCAAATAAAATATATTAGGAGTTACCAAATATTTCAGAGTTTCTATTAAGGACATGGTAAAAATAAATAAACAAATAAATAAATAAAATAAATAATCTCCACACACTTCAGACAGTTTTTGAATCGTAAAAGCCTCCTGGCTGGGAAGCAAAACACCATCAACCACAAAATACAAGTCCACTTGTCTTGTCTTGCTTTTTTTTTTTTTTTTAAACCTTTTTGGATTATGTGGTTTGACTTGACTGAAAACGAAGTGAGCTATTTAATCAATAGTTCTGTCATTTCATTGTCTACAGTGTTAACACATGTTAAACAATAAAGCTGAAAACTGGCAGCGTTTAGCTCAAGGGGTGATTTGACCAAACAGAATTCAAAGTGCAAAAAAAATACAAATAATGCCGTTTATTTACAGACATTTGTCAATGTTATGTTATTTTCATCTTTAAATCACTTCTTGGTCTGCTGTCTTCATACATCTCCTCCTTCATGTCTCTGCGTGAGTGCAGCTACAGCGTGCGCTCTCAGAACATTATGACCTGCAGTGTTCCCTCTGTGTGGACTGAACTTGGCAAAAGGGTCTTCTCCTACTCTGCTCCTGTTTCCTGGAATATCTTACAAAAAGACCTGAAGCTCTCGACCTTGACCTCTCTAAGTGACTCTAAGAATCTGTTGAACTCCTGGCAGGGACCAATGCAGACATGTTCCTGTTTTTAGTTTTCTACATTTGCCTTAGAATCTATCTGTTTTTTGTTATTTTTCTTTCTTTAGCTATCCTATTTGTTAAAAAATAAAATAATCTGTATGACTTTTTATAACTGTTTATTGTTGTCGCTGTTGTCCATTGTTGTCATCATTCTTTGTTAAATCAGGTCTCTCTAGTAAATGAGTCCTCGAGGCTCAATGGGATTTACCTGTCTAAATAAAGGTTGAATGAATGAATGTCTTGTGACTTCAAAATATCAGTTGGTGCCAAAAAAGTATGGCTACAACCTTCAAAGCATGCATTTCTTTGCAATTTTACAAACCTTTCGTGTGTGTGTGGAAACTACTGTATTTTCAGTGTCATGAATGGAGTTGTGTTTACAACAGCATGCCATTATGTCTTTGAACCTGTCTCTACTCCGTCTTCTCATGTTTTAAACAATGTTGCCTATCTGTACAAGTGACACCTGCACACATCCTGTCCTCGTTCTCCCTGTAAGCTGAAAGTAGAGGGATGCATTTTCAGTTTCATGATGTCGAGCAGTGTTTAGTGTGTCTAACTGTATGAAGTTGTGAATGAACATGAGGCCACACCACAGCCATTACTCAGGTTATTCCTACGTCATTATAGTAGTAAGCCACAATTTTCTTGGCTGACCACACAAAACCGACACGAATTAAAATAGACGGCAAACCCACAGCTTGTTGCCTGTTTTCCCACACTTCTTTCCAGTGGCAGCCTGTTCGCTCTTGTAAAGTCTTTAAACTGTCAGTGAGAAGCGTACTTTATATAGCCCATGTCAGGTGTTACTGCTACAGCCTGACGTGCAGTCACTTGTAGGAAAATTTGAATAATAACTCATGTTGTACCAGCAGATACTGCTGTGGTCTGAGGATTCCAGTTCAACTAGTTTCACAAGTTTGGCTGTACTCTAAAGCCCTTCTGCATTTTCCTAGATGCCATTGAGGTCTGCGGCGTGTTAGTTTGTCGACTTTCATAAGAAGAATGATGCTGCTTTGCACACTTTGCTGTACTGCTAAAAAAAAAGAGACTTAAAAACACATTTGTTCACACGTCATCATATAGGCCTGTGTGAAAGTTTCAAGCAGTTTAAGACAAACTAAAAATAAATAATGAACCAATAGGTGTCATTTCTTTGAAAAGAATGTTAGGGCAAAGTTATTTATGCTGATTTAAAAACACCCTCCACCCAGCTGTTTCAAGAACATAGCAAACAACGTTGTCAAAAGTGTAAATGCTTTACTGTTTGAGTCACAAGTCTTTAAAATCCTTTTAAAAAAAAAAACCTCCCTTATCAACAACACCAGCTCGTAAGTGAAATAAAATACAATAATCATCCTCTTAAAAAAATTAAATAGGCAATATGCATTTCTTGAAAGAGTCTATATTCCTACAAAGAATGTATACATTTCATGCCAAATTGTAAATTAAAATAATTTGTTGAAAATTGGCAAAATTGTAGCCACTTTGATCAAACCTTGAAAATATTATTTTTGTGCAACCACGCAATATTGTGCAATGTCACACACAGAGTGTGTGCTGTGAATCACTCTCAGCTACTACCAGAGGCAATTCTAGAATCTGATCTTTGGTTGTGTTTACCCCCAGTGCTGACAATGGCTCTTAGCTTGAACAACGTAGTGGCCATTAGTGTCAGAAGTATTTGTAATGTGGTCGAGGGACACACTAGTGGAGGGTCTGGGTGGAGGGTAGTTTCTGATGGAGGGTCCTCACCCAGAAAATTTTGAATAAAGTACATGCCATTTCCTGCATTCTCTTGTAATTTAATGAGTTTTAAACATTTACATTTACCTACATAAGTAAACACTTGCTTCAGTAACTATTTTAGAGAGCACAGCACAAGAAGTAACCTGACCAACAGCTCTCCTTGTTTGAATAGAGCATGCTCCACTTCTCTCACACATCCTAATCCCCTCCACACTTGGTTGAAAACTGTATTGCGGTGCGCAATACAGATGCGCTAGCTAAGATGTTACAGAAGTAGTGCTCCGCTTCTCTTACGCATGCCCCTCCACCCCCTCCTCCAAACTCCTGCAGGTAAGGAGTGTTTCGCTTAAGGACAAATTGAGGTTGCCGATTGGTCAGTTGCTGATGAGTCTACTGGATTGATTGACAAGTGGTGTCAAGGACCCAACTTGTGCAAAAAGAAATCATAGATTTTTCTGGCCCGTTTAAGTGCCATCATTGAATCCATATTTATTCACTATTTTGGTGAAGCCAAGGCATGAAAACTGAGTTTCCTTACAAAATCCTAATGATGGTTTCTTAATTTTTCAGGGGTGCTAAGTTAAAATTTCAGGGTGCTTGAGCACCCCTATAAAGAGGCTAAAATCACTACTGGCTACTACCACAAAATTTTTTAACTTAATATCTGTAAAACTGACTGAATTAGAGCGGTTTTCATGTTGGTTAATTGGAATTAGAATTGGGTTGAAGCCAAAAGTGAATTAGTTATAGATGTACATCCAGTGAGTATTCTCTGAGAGTTAAATTAAA